TTTTTTTTTTTTTTTTTTTTTTTTCCCCTGCTGCCACATTCATTCATTAGAGCTTTCTCATATTGGGCCAGTTTTGCACAATGGATTTTAAAGGTGTATTTATTAGTGGACAGAAGAAAACTGCCTGTTCTAGCCCCAAACCCAAATGCAAGTTTGCTGCATTTACTGAGGATAGAAGCAGATGGCTCGATACCTGCTTGATAAGGAGATTATGATTTGCAGCCAAAGTAAATGGAATCTGAATTTGGAGGGCAAGCTGCCTGCAGCATTCGTCTCCAAACCTGGGAATATATAATGTCATATAACATGCCCAACAAATGATTGTCTCTTTTGAAAATTTACCAGAATGTTTTTTATTTAGCTCTTTCTTTTATCTGGATTAAACCATAGAGTTCTTATTAATCTTTACTCCTTTATAAATTAGAATACAAGATCTGCTGAGACTTATGTTTGGGTTTGGTTTTGATGGTTTTTTCTAAATAGGAAAGGGCCTTGAAATTGGTCTCCAATTGTTTATGCATTTAAGTCCTGTGTGAAAAATCTGCAAAAACACAAACTAAAAATAATCTTTAAGAAACTCTTAACCTAGGGAAGGGAGTATTTTTAACTGGTATCTCGGTAGCCAGGCTAACTTCACAGTCTGAAGATGAGTAAGGCTCCACAGTAAATCATATGAGAAAGACATCCTTATTACTTGTGTTCCTCTTGAAGGGGAGGGCAGGGTGTTTGTTTGTATTTTTTGCTGAGACAACTGAAGAAAGACCCTTTAATGTTTTTATTTTGCAATTCTGTAAACAGAGACACAATGTTGGATTTTTGTGTGTAGCAGCTGTTATTTCCAAATACAAGTCAAGAATTAAAAACCTGTCTCCCCTAGAAGACAAACATTTACTTTTGGTTTCAGCTAGCACTCTAAAAATAGGTGTCCCAGATTTAAACAGAAAAGTCGAAACCCTGAATTGCACCATGTCCTGCCATGAGAGCCACTGTCATTGTCCCAGAACCTGAGCTATCTCTTGGCATTCATCTTGTGAAAGTGGATCTTTGGATGCCCTAACAGTGGCATGCTGTATCAGCCAGATCTACCTGCAATAGGAAAAGTGATTTGACACAATTTAGTATGATGCTATCTCTACGCTGTGCCTTCTGAACCTACCTCCCCATGTGAGAAAGCTGTGCTCTGATGATCACTTGCTGATACAATGCCTCTAAGGGAACAAAATTCA